GAGCTGGGGAATTTTTGCTATTTATAGCCGAGGACAGCGAATGAAGAGGAGACAGGAGAGCCTGGTTTGAGAGTTAAAAGAGTAGGAATAGGTTGCTCCTTAGAGAGCTGCTTTGAGGAGCAAGCTATCTGCTTGTGTATTTATTTTCAGCACTCTCTTTTAATTAATGCATTATTATTTTTTAAAAATTTTAATTTACATATTTTTTTTTAATTTTTAGATGTTTTAATTTCAACAGATTAGTTCAAAAATTACAAAAAAATATATATATATATTCCTCTCTGAATAATAATTTGATTATGAGTTTCAATACAAAATTTCAACTTTAATATAGGTTCGATCGTGCTTACCACTATATAAATTGATTGAAAAGATAAAAAACAAATGTATGAATTGAATTCAGTAACGACAACACTCAAAAAAATTAACACGTTAAATGACGGTGTTGCCGGTTCAAGTTTGAGATTTCATGGAATGAGGATTTAAATTTGGTTTTCCATTTTCTTGTAGAATTTTTTTTTTTTTTCCTGGAAGTGTTTTGTTTTTCATGTTTCATGTTGTTTTATTTTATTTCAACAAAAAAAAAAAAATTTCTAGTGTTCATTTTCGTTCAGTTTGCATTAAAAAAAAAAAAAAAATTACAAGAGTCGGTTTGGTTTTCAGTTTTGCAATTCCAAAGAACAAAAACACAAACAACAGATACTGAGCAACCCATCTTCTTCAATCAACCACAAGCCAACAGACCCATTTGCAGTCCTCCACTGTCGCTGATAAAGTTAAGTTCATGCTCGGCAGTTCCGAGCTCATCAATCATCCTCACCACCGCGTCCATGCTCACCAATACATCCTGATCGCCGGTATTTCCATTGTCTTCGGCTGTACAGACCTGCTTGGGTCATCACCGGTAAAGCACAGTCCATCACTGCAGTTCAGTTCCTCCTTGCCGACCGGATCCGTGTAACCGGTGCAGCGCCGCAGATTCACTCCTCCTTGCACGCCGAACTCATCACCGTGAAGTCATCACCGCCGGATTTTTCTCTGTGGCCATCTTTGCTGGCCGGATACGTCACCGCCGAGCTCTCAGCCGCCGTCTGAAGCTGAGATCTCTGCCGTCACTGCATCACAGCCGTTCTCGCCGCCGTCGGCAAAAATAGTTTCATTCTCGCCGGCACATCCTTGCTGGACGTTCCATGCTCACTTTCCGTTCAATCATCTGTACAATCGTTTTTAGTCCACCATGCTCAAGCAATAATTCGTGATCGAGCTCCCCACCTTGCCGTCTTTCACTTTCTTGCCCGTAGGAGTTGCCGTTCGTTGCTTGCCGCCGGCCTGCATTGTTGTTCTCTGGATGTGGGTTTGTTCTTGTAAAATAATATACATATACATGTACAGGAACGCTATCGTGCGGTAAAAAACAAAGGATTGTTCAACCGACCAAAATTTAATTAGTGAATTGCACTTTATTACCTCATCACTCTTAATAATAATTAATAATGTTAATTTTAATAGTTAATTTAGCATAGTTAACTAATACTTTTATTCAATCTTTAGAATTTTTTTTTCTTCGACCCATTATTCCACACTTCGTGAATAATATATATATATTTTTTCTTCATATTCAAAGAATACTAATTTTTTAGGATCGGTAAATAAGCAAAACCTCCAATAATGAAGTTTTAAACAGAAAACAAATAGTGCTTAACCTGCCATGGAAACAATAAAAGGACTCCAAATTTGGGTTTTATGAAACTATAGTAAATTGACTATTAAAGTTAACATTATTAACTTGGTTAGGTCTGATAAAGTAATAAAGTGTAATTAACTAATTGAGTTTTGATCTGTTGAAAATTTCGTTATTTTGGACTGCATGACAGCTAAAAAAAAAAAAAAAAGGCACAGAAGAAAAAAAGAAGAAGTTATTAAGTGGGGAAGAAAAAAAAGATTGATGTATTTTTTTTGAAAGTTTGTAAGTATCTTCACTTAAAACTCTCATGAAATCTTATTGTATATGGTAAATGCAATCACCCTACCTGCCAAAATGGCACCTTTTTTTAGTTAGGAGTTTATCAAAATAATAATTTTGTAACCTTATTAATTTTTACCCTTAATTTGCTCAGACACAAAATTATTATTTTATATATTCAGTACATTTATTTTATTAATATTTATATTATTTTTATAGTAGTATGTGTATGATTTATGTTTTATCAGTAATAATTGCAAAAACTGAAATGCAAGTGTATGTGGTTCATTGTTAAACTGGCAAGTATCCTTACATTTTAAAAAATAAAAAATACAAAATTTAATAATTATCTGGGTTAAACCCAAGTAAATTCGAATCAAATTATAATTCTCTCTTCTCTTCCTCTTTTTCACGTTCGATTGCAATTACTATATCTCATCTCTGTGTGGCAATTAACTCCATCAGGTAATTCTCAAATTGGAGGGTCGTTCACATGATGTTTCACTGTCTAGTCAACAGTAATCTCATTCCTCATTCATGCATAGATAGAGCTCCATTTAATTTCAAGTTTTAGCAAATTTATACAAAGATGGACAAGGACCTTGAGTGGTACATATATGAATTCATTTCATTGTGTGTTGGTATTGACTATGTCAAAGGAGCAAATCATATGATAGATTTGTTTTTTTCTTTTCTTTTTCTACATATCATTAAGTGTTTTTGTGCAGAGTCAAACTTAGATTGCGTGAGCGTATGATTTGTTCCCTTGAGACCCTTTAATCACAAGACCAACAGTGCAGATTAATATGATGGATTGTTCTTAATATATTCACCACTATTTTTGTGTCTAAATTCTATGAACATTAGTCTTTGAAAGGAGGCTTTGCGCCATTGTCATCCTTGATTCAAAGTCAAAAAGATTTTTGTTTATTTCTTAAAATTAAAAATCATATATAATAAGAAATTTGTCCATTTCCATTATTATTATTATTTTTATTGTGGTGTGGGAAATTTGTATTAGATTCTGATCTCTGGAGCCTTAAGTTTTTGGCTTGGTTGTACATTGAGCCCTGCACTCCCACAATGAAATTGACCCCTATGTTCTTGGTGCATTTACCAACCTTTTTTGATGGGGGTCGATTGCCACCCAGAGGCCGAAGAGATATAGCAATTGCAATTGACCCTGACCAGGCAAATGCGATCATCGGGGTCCTCCCTCGCCTTCCCATAAGCCCTCTTGCAAAGGGGTAAAGAAGAGCCAAGAACCAAAAGTTAAAGAACACCCTCTCCATCAAACGTGAGAAAGAATGAGAGGAGAGAGAATTATAATTTAATTCGGATTCATTTCGGTTTAACTCAGATAGTTATTAAATTTTTTATTTCTTTAAATATAAGGATACTTGTCAATTTAGTAATGCATCATGAGAATAAATTTTTTACTCACTAATGAATAGGCAAGTTTTATTCAAAAATTATTTAGTTTTTCAGCCAATGCTTGACACGAACAGCTCTCCAAGAAAATTGCTAATACTCTTTTGTTGTAGTGCAGTGATCCAATTGGGAAAAGAAAAAGAGATTCCTTTTGCGCATGGGAATATTCCCTTCTGCAATTGTACTTCTTTTGCGCATGGGAATATTCCACTATAACAAGAGAGTTTAAGATTTTATTGTTGCTTCTGTTTAGTATTCGCTGAAAAAACTATACAATCACTTGCAGCCATCTTTTGCTTGTTCCTTATTTTTGCTTGTTTTCTTCTCCTTATTCAATTATTATAGATAGAATATAAAACATACATATATTAATATTAAAATAATATAAATACTAATAAAATAAATCTAATTAGTATACAAAATAATAATTTTTATGCCCTTATTATTCGTGTGTCGTGTCAGATCATGGGTATTATATTATGAGTCGATGTGAACACGACACAATTATTACACGAGTAACCCGTTTAATAAATGAGTCAATACTTGACATGACATGATAAGACACATTTAAGTCATTTTTTATATAAACACGACATGTTTATTCAACACATTTAATTAAATGAGTCATTTTTTATATAAATATGACACGTTTAGTTAAGTGGGTAGACTGGTCAAACACAACATGTTTAATTACCGTATCAATTTTGGTCAACACGATTATAACATGAACACAATTAAATCAAACCTAAACTCACTTATTTCGTATCGTGTCAAATATTGTCACTTCTAATCCAAACAGTAAATTTGAAATTAGATTGATAGGATTGTAATATCATAAAATAGCAACCCATATGCAATTTCAATCAATTTCAATTCCGCACAACCAAACATAGACTTAATATATTTATTTTACATGTCAACATATATTTAGTACAAAAAAAAAAAAAAAAAAAAAAAAAAAAAAAAAAAAAATTGAAAAGCAAACATAATGTGTTGAGACATGAAATGACTACGTTAAAGTGTTTCTAAACCACAAAAAGCTATAGTTTGGTCGTATTTCTTCCACCTCCGCAAGGGCACGGTGAGGATTAAAGTTCCTTGGGGACAAATGCATGAGTTTCTTACGAGTGGAAAAAAAAAAAAAAAAAATGTAAAGTGTTTTTAATACAGTTTTTCATAATTAATATGTGATGGGACAAAAGTAACCCCAAAAATATGAAGGTAATTTTGACATTGCACAAAATTACCATTTAACTAACTGAAACTATTTATATATATATATATATATTTGTTAAAATCTGAGTAAAAACTCAAAAATGAATTATCTCTGGCAAGATTTCTCTCCTAAATTTTGCATGTCTTAATCTTTGTGATAAAAACATTCAATCACGTCATCAAATTTGTTAGACTTAGATGTTACTAATATTTATGTTAGAACTGAATTTGTAAATAGTTTAATGTAGAGTTGTGTCCTATTAGTTCAGATACTTACTACATGAATGCTTACAAACCACGCACCTCAAGTGGCGGCTAGATACAGTGGCATCTACAGTAGATACTATGTTTTTTTAAGTACAAGTGGGGGTTCTTATAATAATCCTAATAATACTTAGGTTAATTATAAGAGGGTGATCACACAGAAGGGGAAAAAACACCTTTGATCGAATATCTTTTCTCGTAGAATTGAATTCCTGAATTCCAAGAAAAATCAGAGGATCTTCTGAAATTCTCGATTCACTGAAGAGCTAGAGAAACCTAAATTATCTTGATATTTTTTTTTTCAGTGAATCGGGTTTTCTATTCTGTGCAGAGAGAAAACATACCGATGGCGTCTGGGTTGATCGAGATTGGTTTGGGAGCACTATTTAGTTTATTACTGAAAAATGTTCTGGAGGTCAGAGAAAATAGTCACAACTTCAATCCCCAACTCGAAAGGCTTGAAGCAACTCTGTTTTCACTCGCAACAACTGTGCGTGACATTGGGAAGTTGGACGGAGAATTGGGCGTTCCACGGGAAGAAACCAAAATGTTCACCGATCTCTTGAAAGAGGGCGTGGAGCTGGTCAGCAAGTGCTCGGAAATCAATTTCTACCAGATTCCTAGCTACTCGAAGAAGCTCGAAGGATATACAACTAAGCTTGACAAATTCTTTCAGATCCACGTGCAAGCTTTGCAGACGAGAGATATGAAGAAGATTATGGTGAAACTGAATGCAATAGATACGAAAGTGGAGGGGAAGATGAAAGCGAATGAAACAGATGCGACATTGGATGAAAAGTGCAAGTGCTCGAAGATGAGGAAAGGTGGATTCGTTTATGATTCGAAGATAGCTGTAGCCAACCAAGTATACTCTGTGAACAGCTAACTGCTCTCTCTCTCTCACACACACACTTGCACATATTTTGTTGGTTTAAACTTTTTCAGATGCTTTTTGATTCTTTCTCAGACATGGGTTCTGTTTTGTGTCTCCGCAGACAGTTGACATTGCAGTCAAAATGGACTCGGATGGCTGCGAAGGTAAGTTCATGGAAGGTTCTTATACATGAAAGGTTCCAATTTTATTTATTTATTTTTTAATAATATTTGCACACACCAACAAATGCCCAGGACTCCATCAATTATAATTAAGATTGGTTTTTAGTTTATGGAATTCTAATTTATAAACTGTTAAAGCTTATTTCCTGATTAATCTCCCAGTTGACAATTAATAGGTTAATTTGATCCTAATATTGTTTGCTACGTTGATGAATGGGTTGCTGATAAAATGATTAATTTAGGTGAGCAAAACATTAGATTGAAACCTTGTTTCAAGAGATATATTGTTAATGTCTTCTTTATTTTTTTTATTTTTTTCCCCTGAATGTATAGTATTGATTTTTTAATTTGTTTGCTTGATTAAACAGTATATTTATCTAGCGATGACAACCAATACATAATCATAGTTATATCTCATAATTGTAATTTTTACATCTAACATTGCTCACACTTATATAGTAATATGGTAGGTGTAATCATATATGGTACTTTGTAATATGCAAGAAACCTAAGTTGTAGGTAAAGGGGTAAACTTGTAATCTAACAAAAATCAAGAGAAAAGCTTCTACAACTCTGACCCTCTCTAACTCTAACTGTGGGCTATGAGAAGACCCTCTCTCACTTGCAGGCTAAGAGAGAAACCCTCTCTATTACAGGTGGAGAGAACATCTAACATTGCTCACACTTGACAGGTGGAGAGCACACCTAATCCCTCCCACATAAAGGTCGAGAGTAAGCCTTCCCTCACTTACAGGTGGAGAGAAGCCCTTACAAGCTTCACAAGCTTTCCCTTGCCAAGATCAGGACTTTCCATTCTCAACCGATATAAGTTGAAGATTAGAGTGAACAATTGATGTCTCTTAATAGACAAATGTATACAAGTGTAAGCTCACAATACCTAGAGTTAATACATGAAATATTCCATTGAAAAAGCTTTTCTCTAGGATTGAGTACCACTATGAATAATGATATGCAAGTTTAAGCTCTATAGTGGTTGCTAACAAATGAATGAATGATTTTCATGGTTTAAAGCCCAATGGTAGAATTAGCCAACAAATGATGATGAAGTATATGCATGATGGTAGAACTCACATGGTAGAAATCTTTTTCTATATTTTTACACTTGTAAATGTTCATTACAAAGTGTATTTATAGTCCCTTGAAATAATATAGCCGTCAGGTACATTTTATATATTTTGGACTGCCAACTAGTCCGTTAGAATCTGAATTTCGAAAATCTCAGTAGACTCATGCTTAGCGCAGTTGACTGGTTTGCCTATATCACTCTGCTGATTGATTTGTCCCTTTGAGAGTTAAACTCTCTAGATTGACTGTGTCGATTGATTTCTACTTTCTGTTTCTTATGAGTCGACTGGGATAACCCAAGTTTTAAAGATTATGCAATTCTAAGTTCAATCTTGGCTAAACTCATTCTTATGCCAACTTAGGACTCTAGTGATTTATGCAAATAAGATCAAGTCCTAAGTTTATGTGTCTAAGGACTTTCCTCGTGATGTTCAATTCAATTGAAGGTCCTTGACTTCTCTAAGTATTGAGATTTTGAAAGATATTCCAATTGAAAACCATCTCAATATCAACTATAACTTTTCAACTAAGTGCAACTCAAGAGTCGAATGGTTTAGCCCAAGCTTTAAAGAATATGAAATTCTAACTTCAATCTTGGCTAAGCTCATGCTTATGTCAACTTAGGACTTCAATGATTTATGAAAATAAGATCGAGTCTCTAAGGACTTTCCTTGTGATGTTCAATTCAATTCAAGGTCATTGACTTCTCTAAGTATGAATAATGAGATTTTGAAAAATAATCCAATTGAAAATAATCTCAATATCAATTATGACTTACAAGAATGACACAATTAAGTTCAAAATCAATTTTCAGTGATTCTAGAGACCAATAAATGGTACAAGTCATTTCAAGTGTGGTCCCTGGAATATGTTAAATTAAGAGTTAAGTTCCTTCAAAGCTTTTGCAAGCTTGAGTGAACCTAAACTCAACAATGGCGTAACAAGATGGCTCAATAAGGTTCATAGCCTAATTCTAAATGTCTAAGGTACTGTGATACGATATGAATGATATGCATGAAATGTGAAATGGTCCAGGAGTCTTTTAGGTTAAGAGATGACTTTTTCAAGTGAGTTGCTTCAGGATTAACTTTAAATTTTGAGCTTTGAAAGTCGTCGTCTTTGACTTTAATGATTCTTGATGTTTGGAAGCCTTCGTATTTGACTTACTATCTTTTGAGTTTTTAGATTTCATCTTTTAATTGTTGGAACCTTCTTGGCCTTTTGCCATTGATCTATTAGCTCTCTTGAGTTTCTTATTGATGTAAAACCTATTTAGCATAAGCTCTAGTTGACATTAAATTTAACATTTTTAATGATTTGAAATCATCAAAATGTCTAATATACCTTTAGTTTGAAACCTTCGGTCAACAACAACTGCACATAAAGAGAAACAGTGTACATGAAAATGAATATACGAGTCTGTGTATTTATCTTGGTTAATACTACAAAGAATATGAAAAAGTTTCATGAGAACTAAGACTTGTTTCCTGAACTTTTGGTATGATTTTATCTGTTTTTGTCAACTAACGAATGGGCTTTTAGGATTTGTTGCTTTAAGTGGAGAGGAAAGACTTATGTCGCAACAAAGATCTTATTTTATGTTTTAAAAAATTTAGGCAAATTGTATATGTACCTCAGAAATGCTCATGGATTCGGAGAAAACACCTCAGATAATATATATATATATATATATTGAAGGTTAAAGCATGTAACACTTCAGATAAGATAGTACTTGGGGTGACAATTAGGTTCAGGCGGGTTTTGGGTGGGTTATAACTGGGCATATCATGAATGGACTAGTAACTTATATCTGCAGTAATTCTATATAGATCTTAGGAAGGGACAAAATTTAGTAATTATAATAAAAGCAGAGCCAGAACTGTGTGTGAGAGAGAGAGAGAGCCCAATTGATGGTCGGACTCTGCTTTGGAAAGTTTTAACAGTAACTATGTCGGCCCAAGAAATTACTCTCTCTCTCTCTAAAATTTTGGGAGAGCAAAGAGAAGAGAGAAAAATTTTCAAAAAAGAAAAAAGAAGAGAAAGAAAGTAGAAAAAAGAGAGTCCTCATTCTATATATATCTTTCTCCTTTACTTTATCGGTTCTCTCTCTAAAATTTTAAGAGAGAAAAAAAACAAGAGGAGAAAGAAAACAAAGAAGAGAGAGAAAATGAGAGAGAGATCAAGCAAAGAAGAATGAAAGTAAAAATCAGATCTCATGTTTGTTTGTTTGGATTAGTATTATTTTTTTATTTTTTAAAAAAGGTTATGTTTGGATGGGTTGGAGTGGGAATGCAATCCAATAATTACACTGCTCTTTGCCAACTGACTCATTTATAATGCTTGTTCAAATCGCACACCCAAAATCCAATAATTAGTGGGCGAGTTTAGATATAAATTGTCACCCCTAAATAAAACGCATAACATCGATCACATAGACAGCAAAGACTCCCAAACTAACCCTACTTTATTTTATTTACATGTTTATTTATGTCTAATATATGTCTCTTGGGATTATCTAACCATATGCCTCAGCCTCAATGTACTAATACATGATTTGTCCTTTTTTTTTTTTTTTTTTTTTTTTTTTTTTCTGGTGAATAAGTGAGAATAAACACAAAACTTGTATAGAAGTACCACTCCAAATATAATATAATGTATAAGATAATGTAACTAATATATCCAAATAATTCAACTAATCAAGTTTCAAACTTTCAACATCAATTCAATTAGATATAAATTACAACTTATATATATAAAAAAAATTATTACTTATTAGATGCTAGTGCTACTAACTATATGAATAACTGAATTATGAACATAAAGTTATAAACATTATACACCGATCAAATTTACTGAATTATCAAATTTAGTAAATAGAACATAAACAGAACAGATTAACAGAGGTGCAACTGAACACAAAACTTCCCATGCATAAATCAATTAGGAACATCTGAACAAGAAACCAAAAAAAGGCCTGATGTCGAAAACCAACTGAATTTGGAGTATTCAATGTTCACTAAATTCATAATTTCATCTTTATCTTTATTGTTTTGGGCCCCAAGATCGTAGGGAATGAAATGTACTTTCGATGTTTCTGGAGTTCTTTTAATCTTATATATATTTATATATTATCATAATCTTTCTCTCATTGGCTTTTAGTTGTGGAATCAATGCGGGTCAACCGAAAGCAAAGCCAGGCAACAGTTAGTGGCTATGTTGATCCAAACAAGGTAATCTTCAGTGACAAAAACCGAAATGCATGTTCCATCATGTGAAGTACAGCTTATTCTAGGGAAAGAATACATAACATTATATATGCATGTGAGTTGTGACATACTCAAGTCGAGTGGATGAAACAAAATTTTTTTTTCTCATGAGGTAGGAAGTGTGTTAAAGGAAATTCAATAGAAGGTGAGTCTGTTCTTATTGGTTTAATATGTGATACGTGGGTCAATGTGAAGCAAATAGAAAAAATACAAATTAGTCTTCTTACAACAATAAAAGAGATTAGAAATACTTTCGATCACCTCCGGAGCCTATATTTTACAATGAAAAGCTAGAAAATGCTTGAAGAACTAATTTTACTATAAAAATAACTCAAAATAATATTGATAAAGAGTATGCGCCTTTTATAAGCCAACTATTTATGACACTATTTTTCCTAGACTAACACTATTGACTGCCTCTATCTTGACTAGAGATACTATTAATTATTTGCATCACAATGGCCCACACGATATTAAATATATATGATATTTTGTTGTGCCCCCCTTCTACTATACATACATACATACATATATATATCATGCTTTGCCGTTTAAACTGCCTCTTGTAGAAATGCTGTCAATGTTTTAATTAAGTGGTGTGTGTGTGTGTGTGTGTGTGAGGTACTCAAATGTTATAAATTTGATACTGTTGAGAGTACAAAACTGCAGCAATAGTATGTTTTTTTTTCTTTTAATGGTATATCTGTTGATTTTCTTTGCCACAAAATAATTTTTAAAAAAGTTAATTTCTTTTATTTGTTTACACTATAAACTAATGACTAGTCATTACCCACAAACGAAAAAAAAGGAAAGACGTGACATTTTAAAGGTTGTGGTGGTAGGATAAGATTCTTGTTCTGGTCCCAAATAGGTGATTTTGAGTCAATTTTGTTATCAATGTCACTTGTATATGCAAAATAGATCATGCAATAAGCATATCACAAAATCAAATTGGCTTCATATAGGGGAGATCCACTTAATTATACAGCCGCCACGTTTAGGAAAATTGTGAAAGATCGACATATTGTTTTATTTGATTTGAAAAGAAGTGTATATACAATATGGTTATGAGAGCCATGAATAATTAATATTATTGCTAGGAAAAGAGTGTTAAATTTTTTTGGTACATTATCATATAAACAAAAAGATTTCTATGATGGAGTTATGATTACCCTAAAGAACAATTGCCTGGTAGAAAAGTGAATCTCCTATTAAATTGGTTAGCATTAGGTTTTACCATCATTAGGCAGCATCTTCTTATTCATGGCTTTAGGTAGAGAAGTCAAGATCATGTGTATATATGGTTATTAATTGAAGAAAGCCATACCATCATAGCATTATGAAGCTTCCAACCATAAGGCATAGGTTACTTTCCTAGAAGCTTAAGTGATTTTTTTTTTTTTTCTTGGAATTTACAAATTTTTAGACAGGTAAACTCCTAAAAGTTTAAGTTGATAGACCGATGTAAATTTAATATTTAAATAATCTAATACCTTCACATGTGACCTCCTTTTGATTTAACATGTGATCTTGTCCGTTTTGAACATCTCATACCATATTAAACATTTACTCTAAAAGTTTAAACGGTTAGAAAGAGTGTAACTTTAATATTTAAATCCTCTAACATGACTTTTATAACTTGACCCGGTTCTAAATCTTTGGTATTACCTACAGTCACTGCAGATACATTTTTTCAACATTATATGTTGTCAAATGTAGATTTTTCAATGATCTTATACAAATCAACACTGCTAATATGACGGGAAAAGGATAAAATAAAATAAAATGAAGGTTGTGTTAACCAGGGTCATAAGAACGCTTAGCAAATTAAAGTGTCACTAACATAGATATAATAAAAGTGGTGTTATTATATATAATATTAGATGAGATCTTATCCTAATATTTTCCTTGGTGAGGAGACAATAACATAGTTTTACTTTTTATCTTATTGTGATTTTATGATTAATCATATTTATTATCAACTATGATGATTTTATCTGTTAATTTGGTCAAACTTCAGTCCCCAGTTGGTGAAGAGAGTGTATTGACACTTGAAACATATATTGTTTTTCAATGGCACAAAAGAGGGGAAATCATTATTGGTAGCACCAACCATGGTTTTGGTATTAGAGGATAAGCTTCTTTAAAGGAATGAACTTTTAAGGCCTTCAATCAACCACCCTATATTAAAATATTTCAATTACAAAGTTGAAGAATGATTTCTCCACTAAAATGAAATTAAAATAGAGTCCCTACCCTAAACACTAAACTCGGATTGGTATGAGTCTGCTGAAGTGGGTATAAAATGCACTTTAGAGCAAGGAATCAAAGCCACCACCACTTTTTTCTACTCCTGTCCCTCTCATAATCACATCATAGGCCAAAACCTCTCTGTTCTTTCTTTCATTTAGGCTCCGTTTGTTTGGACGTAAAATATTTTTCAGAAAATATTTTTTTATTTTCTGATGTTTGGTTGTCGTAAAATATTTACGAAGAAAAAAAATATTAAAATTTAACAAAAATAATTTATCCATAAAATTTCGGCAAGTTATTTAACATGCCCCGTCCGATGGACTTGACCTCAACTTCGACGTAGACCTTTGCCAAACACTGATAAAGTAAAAATAAAAAAATATTTTACTTGAAAAAGTTACGTTGAAACAAATGGAGCCTTAAAAGCTCTCAAAAACAAATAAGAAGTTTGGCTGAAAGTCAGAATTGTTCCAGATGTGTTAGTAGTGATGAAAGATTTGAGAATTACAAAAACTTATTGAAATCACACCAACATATCATGTGAATCACTCACAAAGAAAGTTCAAAGAAATTTTTATTTATTCGTGGACTGAGTAACCAAGATTACATTCTACCCCTTTTATAGTATTATTTGATTGCAGTTCATTACTCTACTTGACTCTAGCATAATAAAGGTAAGCATCCTATAATTGAGGTAATCAGTATTTGACTCTAGGATTATCCGATAACTAAGGTAATCAATATTTGATTCTAACCTAATAAAAGTAATTCACTTATACAATTTGATCATATGCAATTTGACTGCAAGAACCCTATTATAATTTGTCTATTATGTGACAAATTAAGGGTTGATTATTAGAACCGTCCTTGCCATCCCTTTTATATACTTTAAAACGTTGTCGTCATTATCCTCTATCAGGAATATTGGTTGGGATTTCTCAATATTCACATCCACAGAGGCGAAGATCTTGCCATCAGAGACAGGAAAAGCAGCGATCCTTACGTTATTGTCCGAATGGGAGAAAAGGTAAATTAATCATAGTTTTTCAAATTTTTTTGAACTCTTTAGTTCTTTGATTAATTTGGTTTTGAGCTTATTTTGATTCAAGTTTTACTTTCTTTGATTAGTTGGTGCTGAGTTTGTTGTTGGGTTGTTCATGATTAGGGGAATTTTTATGATAACATTAAACTTGATCATTATTTTTGGAGTTAATCAAGCTCTGTAATTAAAAATCTAGCATTATATTTAAAAATCTTACTTTTTTGGGGAAAGCTTCTTCTCTTGAAATCATTTAGAAAAAATTAAATTTTAGTGACCAAAACTAAAGAAAATTGTTTTGAAGTGCTCAGAAAGAAAGGGGAAAAAAAAAAAAAAACACCGGGAAAATTATTGGCATAAGTGGGATACATACCTATATACATTCATGCCATGCCTTAGAATTGTAAGTAGAGGAAATTTAGCTCAAAGATCAAACTAAATTAACTCCAATCCCAATTCCAAGGTGCCCATTCAGTGCTCTCAAAGGCAACAAAAGTAAATATATATAATATATATATACTTTATTGTGTATACATGTATATATTTACTTGAGTATTAGGCTAGATAGATATGCCCAGAATAGATGTCTTGTTTCGTTTTCTTATTGATATAATATTATTTGGTTTGGATAAAATTATTTCAGTTCTTTCTCAATTCCTCTCATTAATATATTTATTTATCCCCTTCTCTAAGATTGATTTCTCACTTAATTGGGTTTTTTTTTCTCTCTCTTTTTTTTTTTTTTTTTTTCTCTCTTTTTTTTTTTTTTTTTTTTTTTTTTCTCTCTCTCTCATATTTTTCTAGTGTCAATAGGTTTTAGATAACATCAACTCCTAGTTAAAGCTAATCTAGGATCAACAATCTGTTAATGTTGCAAAAGTAGCATGTCCACACTTTTTTTTCATTGATAATCTTGATATAAGAAAAAAGAAAAAAAAGAAAAAATTGAATTCAAATAAGGTCTAGCTGTGGATCTTTTATGTATTTATCATTTTAGTTGGTCATGTTTTCAGTTATGAAAGAGATGCAAATTTAAGCTTGAAAAATTCTCAATTCTACCCTGAATTTTCATATGCTTACCGTTAGGCTGCACTTGTGTTGTTACTTTATGTATAACAAGTACGAATGTAGTTTGATTATTAGAACTTTTATTCTTTCCATGTATTGATTGCATATGACCTTATCAGCATCCAGAATAGTTTGTTTGACTTGTGTTTTTATCTGTTAATTTTGATGCAGGAATTAAAGACAAAGGTGGTGAAAAGGAATGTCAATCCTGAGTGGAATGAAGATTTAATTCTTTGCGTCACAGACACTAGTCTTCTAATAAAGCTAGTAAGTATTTTAGTTGTTGCACTTTTGTGTGATTTACTCAAGTGGATCAAAACAACAGATCTTTCAGTACATGATTTGCCAGCAACAAAAAGAGAAGAAAATATTTATATTTAATTGAAGTTGCTCCAAACTTAACCAAATAAAAAAAAAAAACTGGGGAAAAAAAAAATTGAAGTTGCTGCATTCATTTCATGCATTCCTTTATGGATACAATGTGAGATAGAAACTTGAATAAATATCTTTTACGAGTTTGGTATCTATATTAGTTTAATTCCTCTACAACTGCAAGACAACTCAACAAAAAAGTTAGTTATGCTATACAGGTAGAAATTTATACAGAATTTTTTCTTATAGTTGCCATGCTTCATTTTGTTCCTATTACTTTAAACAAAAAAGAACCATCAATGCACTAGTTACTTAAAAAAATGCCACTCTTGTATCACTGTTGATTAGAAATCTGTATAGAAATTGTATTTGACTAAAAGATCCAAAAATCTGCAGTAGCACCGTAATTAAATCCTTGAGCACAAGAATTGGCCGGATTGATTATCTGTTCATTTTGAAAATTTATTTGTCTTATTCTTTCTTTTCTCTTAAGTCCATTCCCTTTAAATGTAAAGAGAAAAGAGAAACAAACTAAAAAATATAAAAGGCTTGATCTCTATTGAATGATGATTCGATAATGCGGAGAGAACGACCTCTTTTTCAAATGGAGTTAAAAGTATTTTTGTTTTTTACCAAAACACACAATTATAGATAAAGAGATCATAGTTTAATGGGTATACAAGTAATAATACAACTTTTCCTGCTTTAATCATGAATATGTAAAATAAGAAAAGACTTTAGAGTAATGAGCATAATCAAGATGGAATGTGTCATTCCTTGACTAAAATATGTTGGAAACGGAGCATACAAAACATTTTGGGCGAAATTTTGAGTAGGTCCCACTAAGAATTTCTTGCGGATCTATAGACGAACGTGTTCTTTTCTGTAAGGAGATGAACGTGGTATATTTACTTTGTCAAATTCGTTTCCGGGTGAATGAGAAATTAGCTCCAAAGTAAGGTGTTTGATAAGCGTAAATGGATATGCAAAATGTGGGAAATGCTTGTCCCACATTGAAAATAAAGTGAAACCAATTAGAGTTTAAATAAGCCAAGTTTGGAATTTGGGTTTGGACCCAAGGGCCCCCAAGGTTTTAAGAGGGGGAGGACCTAGGCAAGCTTGGGTCCAAAACATTTACCACACCCGCGCGCGCCCCAATCGACTTAACCCTGTTTGGGCTTGGGCTTAATTGTAAAATCCGATCAATTTTTTATTAAATGGAATTTTTGAATTGGGTCTTGTGTTTGGTTTAATTTTATTTTGGACTGGGCTTACTCTAGTGGATTTGATTGGGCTGGGCTTACGTATGGTTGCACCTGGTGTGAACCAATGCACCGCATTTGAATAGGTGTCTTTGGGGTTGGTTTAGGTTGAACCATTGTGTCCTGTGGCTTTTCGGGTCATCTGAAAAGGCACATACATGCCTATAAATACCCCCCTTGGGTCATTTGCAAATCACACCAAACCCAGAAATTTTATTGTCTAATTTTGAGTTTTCCTCTCTTCTTTTCTTCTCCCGTATTTGCATACACATAGTGTTAGTGTGTTTGGCACAGAGAGAGAGTCCTTCACCAAGCCGGTTCGCCTATTTCTCCGGTTTGCAGTGTTGCTACTGAAGAAAGAAAGGTCGTTGTATCCTGGGAGACAGATGCTACAGAGTTTGTCAGTACCATAGTTGGGCGAATCTGTCTTAAGGAGATATAATTAAATTCTAGACTCGGCCTACTATCAAGTTCCTTTGTTTTTATAGTTCGGTTTAATATTATACTAATATAAGTATATTTTATTTATGCTCCGTTTGGTAGGAAATAAAAAAATTGGGTGGAAGGGAGAGGAAAATGGATGGATGAGACATCCATAGGGAAGAGATTATGCATTTCCTTATTTTTGTTTGGTTGGATAGAAGAGAAGAGAATAAGCTCATAATTTATTATGTTCGTCAAGAAAGAAGGAAATAAAAAATTTTAATTGTTTTTACCATTATATCCAATAATATTTATAATATTGTAATTTATAGAGGATATTATTGTAATTTAAAACTTGTTTAATTTAGGATGGCATTTAATTTAAAACTTCTATAATAGTCCACTTGTCTTCCCTCATTTCTTCCGCCATTTTTGGGCGGATGAAAATTTGTAAAGGAGGAAGGATGAGTCATCCTTCCTATTTTCCTTTCTTTTCTTATATCATCTCTACCGAACAAACGAATTTTGTTCCATCCTTCCTATTTTCTCTCCACACATCTTCCTTCCTTCCTACCGAACATAGCATTAGTATGATATATATCATTGGAGAATTATATATATATATATATATATATATTATTGTTTTATAATAATAAATATATATATATATATTATATTTTCTATAATATTTAAATAGTAATACTATAATATATGGTACACATACACCATTCTGGACAACAAAATAAACTTTGACTTGTGATTAGAATATAATTCTCGTAACATTCTATGCTTCTTACACCATTTTATTTTATTAAATTGCAGGCAGTGTATGATAAGGACACATTCAAAGATGACGCGATGGGAGATGCAGAGTTTGACATTAGACCACTCCTAGAAGCAGCGATGATGGGGTTGGGGAACCTCTCTAGTGGAAGAACCATAATAACCAGAGTAGAAAAAAGCTGGGACAACTGCTTAGCAGAAGAGAGCTGCATTATGTTGGCAGATGGCAACATTGTCCAGGATATGGTTCTTAAACTGCGAAACGTTGAGCGTGGTGTGGTTAAGCTCCAGTTGAAGTGGATAGATGTTCCGTATTTTAGAGGTCAGCATATGTAGTTTACGCTTGCTTAGTTATTTTGCACACAGTGTACAGGCTGGTTTCTGCTGGTGTCATAGTATGGCTCCATATGAGTTTCTCTCATAGTTTTGTTTGTTCATTGACATGTTAAACACAACTATGCCTTTCAGTATTTTCCTCATATGTACTAGCGTCAATCATAAGGAGGTTTGTAAACAGGCTGAGACAGTTTTTTCTTTCGTAAGAAATTAATTGTGATTAGGGTTCTAATATGTTTTGCTCCAGTGTTAATATACATTCCAATTTGTGATATGGAGAATGCAGATCACTTGTTGGGTCTTCTCAGAATTCACATCCACAGAGGTGTAAATCTTGCCATAAGAGACCGGAGAAGCAGCGATCCTTACGTTATTGTTCAAAAGGGCAAAAAGGTAATTTATCATAGTTTTGAACTCTTTGATTTTTAGCTTGTTTTGATACATGTTCTACTTTGTTTGATTAGTTGTTAAGTTTCTTGATGGGTTGTTCACTGTTAGAGGAATTTTTATGAAAAAATATTGGATTCATAGTTATTTTTGGAGTTAATCAAGCTCTGTAATTAATAATCTAGTATTATATTTAATTATCAAATAATCAAGCTCTGTAATTAATAATCTAGTACTTTATTTAAATATGGGTGAACGAAATTAAACCCCATTTTCTATTTGCCTTTTGCACTTAACCCCTCTTTCTATTTCCAAAATCCCCCCTCAACTTTGAAGGGAGTTGTTTAGACATTGAGTTTTTTTTGGTATTTTTAAGACGAAAATGCCCCTGTTCCTGTTTTATGTATACCCTACATATCCTTCTTCTTGCTCAATTGCTTTTGTTTACCCATGATATATACACATATATATTATATTATATTATATTATATTATATGTACCACAATAATATTATATATTATATATACTATTAAATATTAGTTACACTATATTTGCATTTTCAACTAACCTTCTGACCCACATGTCCACTTGAAATTAGGGGCTAGCTCAATTCTTGTCCCCTTGAAATCAGAATATACATATATACACTGTTCTGTATACATGTATCTATGTATTTGACTATTAGTCTGAATAGATATGCCCAGCATAGATGTCTTGTGTTATTTGGTAAAAATATTTCAATTTCTAATTAAAGATAATCTAAGATCAGCAATCTGTTTAATGTTGCAAAAGTAGTATGTCCACACTTTTCTTTCATTAACTTGTATTGTTCTGGAATTTTCTTATTGATAATCTTGATATAGTTCACAACAACCATCAATCGCAATTGAATCAAACTTACTATTTTCATAATTATCCTACAAAAAGGGTAGAGCTTTAATCCAATATTTTTGGAATTACGCAAAAAATAAAAAAAGGTCTGGCTGTAGAGCGTTTTTTGTATTTATCATCCTGGTTGTTCATGGTTTCTAAATGGACCAACCTTGTTGAAAGTGATGCAACTTTAAGCTTGAGAAATGCTCAATTCTACCTTGAATTTTCATATGCTTACATTGACCTTATCAGCATCCAGAATAGTTTGTTTGACTTGTGTTTTTATCTATTAAATTTGATGCAGAAAGTAAAGACTTGGGTGGTGAAAAAAAATGTTAATCCCGTGTGGAATGAAGATTTAATTCTTTGCATCGCAGACCCTACTATTCCAATCAAGCTTGTAAGTATTTTAGTTGTTGCAGTATGGTGTGATTAACTCAAGTAGATCAAAGCAACAACAGATCTTTCTGTACATAATGTGCCAATCCGCAAAAAGAGAAGAAAATAGTTATATTTAATTGGAAGTTGCTCCAAATTTAAAACAGAAGAATTTTTTTTTGAAGTTGATCCAAACTTAAAATAGAAGGAAAAAAAAAAAAAATTGAAGTTGCTGCATTCAATTCATGTATTCCTTAATGGATACAATGTGAGATAGAAACTTGAATAAATCTCTTTTATGAGTTTGGTATCATTATATAGGTAATTCAATTAGTTTAGGTGAAGATTAGTTTAATTCCTTTACAACTACCAGAGAACACAACGAAAAAGTTAATGATGCTATACAAATAGAAAAATTAATACAGAATTTTCTTACTGAATCTGCTCTGTGTTTGGTTCCTATCACTTCTAAATAAAGAACTATCAATACACCAAATTTTAAAAACTTCAATGTTACATCACCCCTGATGAGGAATCTGTATAGAAATTGTACTTGTCTAAAAAAATCTGCAGTAACACTTTGATTAAATCCTTGAGCACAAGAATTGGATTGTTTATCCTTTCATTTTGGATTTTTTTTGTGTGTGTGTGTGTGTGTGTTTTTTTTTTTTCCCCTTTTCTTTTATTCTTGATCCCTTCCCTCTAAATATTAAGGGAAAAAAGGGTAAAAAAAAAACTGAAAAATATAAAAGGCCTCTCTACTGAATGACAATCTGATAATGCCGAGAGAACGGCCTCTTTGTCAAATGTAGTTCAAGATTTTTACCAGGAGACACAATTACAAATAAAGATCTCACAATTTAATGAATATACACCACCCTGCTTGATTTATGAACATGAAAAACAAGAAAAGAGACGAGCAATGAGCATAATCAAGATGGAATATGTCATTCCTTGGATGAAACAAGCTTTAAGTTGTGGTTAGTGAACATAATTCTCGTAACGTTATCTAAGCATCTTACACTATTTTATTTTATACAATTGCAGAAAGTGCTTGATAAAGATAAATACAAGTGGGATGACAAGATGGGAGAGGCAGAGTTGGACGTTAGACCATTCTTAGAAGCAGTGAAGATGCAGTTGGGGAACCCCCATAGTGGAACCACAATAACCAGAGTAGAACCAAGCCGGGACAACTGCTTAGCCAAGCAGAGCTGCATTATGTGGACGGATGGCAAGGTTGTACAGGATATGGTTCTTAGATTGCGAAACGTTGAGCATGGTGAGGTTGAACTACAGTTGCATTGGATAGATGTTCCGGGTTGAGGTATGCACATGTAATTTATGTAAGAAACTATCAAGCCTAAATGAAGACCACATTACCTCCAGCCATGAAATCAGATTTGTTAATGCCTGCAAAATAAAGTGAGAAATCCCAAGACGTTTGCGCCTATACAAAGGTAATGCGATCTTCTTTTAGGCTTGATAGTTTCTTACATAAATTACATGTGCATACCTCAAACCGGAACATCTATCCACGCTTTCAATAAATTAGCAAAATTAGGGAGCTTTTGCATAAAAATAAAGGGGCTAGCCCTGTGCACGTGACTATATTCTGTTTAGTGTTTATTTTATTATATGAACCTTATGACTTGTCTGGTATTCCCCCCTCCCTAATTTTGATGCAAAAACTTTTGCAATGTTATGCGAACAGAACTATTGAATCCTTTAGAATACTCAGAAGGAATGATATGGAGAATGCAGAGCACATTAACAGTATTTGCATGTGACAAAAGTAAAGTAGCTCTTTGAGGTTTCTCTCTCTCAGCATTGTGTTCATGTGACAAATCATTAGGTCCTTTATTGTACAATGACCAAATATATTGCATTTAGATCACTTCAGGTTTATAATATATCCCTACTTTCAAGTTACCATATGAACCTTATGAGACTTACTTTTATGTTTATTTATTTATTTATTTTTTGTTGCAGTGTGTGCAGAATACTCATAAAAAAAACACCATTATATACTCATAAACCATCATATTCTCAATTTGGAATAATGTTATGATTGGGAACATCGAATTAGACTCTTAAATTTAGGCATAATAATGTGTTTGATGAACAACTACACATAAAGACAGTGTACATGAATTCTTTTTTTTTTATTTATTATTTCACCAAACACTAAATATTTTTTTGGGAATGCTTTATTGGACTTGGAAGTCCGTTTCAAGCCTCTAGAAAGTTTCCTTAAACAGGCACTTATTAGTGTTTGGTGAAATAAGAAAAATGGAATTCTAACCAATATGTAAAAGTCCGTTCAACCGAAGCGTCGAAAACTTGCTTTTGGAATTGATTTATGGGGAAGCCAGAATAATTTTAAGTAACAAATTTTATCGACAAATTTGTCTCCATTTATTTCGTGAAACTCTGCTCGATTTACTACAATGTAGACGATGAAGAAGGAGAGTTGTTGTGAGTCTTTTAGTCCTATTCAAATTCTAATAATAAAATATTTTTCTTAGTTACAATAGTTCTCTAAGAATTCTTAATAAGCCAGCAATCTTTAAATATCTTACTTTTTCTAATTTTAAGTTGATTTCAAGCTTTTAATTCTCAATATCTACGTTTGTAAACCCCAGTCTTTCCTTTCAAGTATTTTTCTCTCTGTGAATAGCCGCGCACTTGAGTGCATTCTCAAAGTTGTTTTTTTGTTTTGTTTTTATTTTTTTATTTTTTTATTTTCTCACATAGTGATCTTACAGTGGAGATATTCCATTTCTCAAATCTGTAATTAACATTCCATTTCTCAAATCTGTAATTAACATTCCATCTTCAATAATTGTGGAGCAAGACTACAATGGAAGCATGGATATAGCATCACATGCTATCTTCATTTAATCACTTTCATTATCTTTCCATTTATTTTTTTTCATTTGTTTTACTTGTTGTATGCCAATTAATTCAACTACAGATAGGTTTGTACTCTTCCTGAATTTTTTTTAAGTTCTTCTTATTAAAGATAAAATTGTGAGTTAAAACTATATTAACAACTTTTTTTTTTTAAATTTAATCGGTTGAAATGTATTCTTCAAAGTCCTTTATTTTGTAGGCATTAACAAATCTGATTTCATGACTAAAGGTAATGCAATCTTCTTTTGGACTTGATAGTTTCTTACAATTTACGCTTTATTAGTCATTTTGCACCGTGTACAGGGTGGTTCCTGCTGGTGTCGTAGCATGGCTACAAATGAGTTTCTCTCAAAGTAGATTTGTTTATTCATTGACATGTAAAACAGGTCTATGCTTTATCATGTCAATCATCAGGAGGTTTGTAAACAGGCTGAGACAGTTTTTCCTTTTTCTTTGGTTATAACTTAATTGCAATTTGGGTTCTAATCTATTATTAGATATTACTATTTTTTATTCTGTTTAATATTCATGCCAATTTCCGTGTAATAGTTAAGGGTAATAGGTGATATGGAGAATGCAGGTTACATAAACTGTATTCTATTAATAATAATAAAAAAAAAAAAAGAAAAGAAGAAGAAGAAGAAGGAGAGCACAAGACTCATATCATTGCGGGGTTTAGAAAGGATCAGATGTACACAGTCTTATCTCATATGTCAAGACTATTTTCGGTTTTAAACCCGTGGCCTTCGCGTCACAATGAAGCAACATTATTGCGGTGCAATCCCTACCCCTCAATTGTGTAATCAATTATGACAAAAGGATTGTAGCTCTTTCCTTACTCTTTCTCTGTGCATTCTGTTCATAATAACAGTTCATCGTTAGGGTCCTCTATATTCTGTTTAATGACCAAATGTATTGTGTTTGGATCAATTCAAGGTTGAAATTAATCGTAGTGTTTATGTTATTATATGAACCTTATTACTCGTCTGGTATTCCTCCACCCCACCCCCCTATATTTTGATGCAACAACTTTTGCAATTTTATGCAAACAGAACTATTGAATCCTTTAGAATACTCGGAAGGAATGATATGGAGAATATAGAGCACATTAACAGTATTTGCATGTGACAAAAGTAAAGTAGCTCTTTGAGGTTTCTCTCTCAGCATTGTGTTCTATGTGACAAAACATTAGGTCCTTATATTGTACAATGACCAAATATATTGTATTTAGATCACTTCAGGTTTAAAATATATCCTTGCAGTTAAGCAAAATACTCATAAAAAAACACCATCATATACTTATAAACCACTGTAAACCCTAGTATCTCCTTTCAAGTACTTTTCTCTCTATGAATAGGCGCGCACTTGAGTGCATTCTCAAAGGCTTTTTTATTTTTATTTTTTTATTTTATTATTTTTATTTATTTAAGATTCCATCTTCAATAATTGTGGAGCAAGACAACAATGGAAGCATGGACATAGCTTCATCATATGCTATCTTCATTTAATCACTTTCATTGTCTTTCCATTTATTTTATTTTTTTCATTTGTTTTTGAAGATGCAAGAGATTCTTTCTTCTTTCTCTCTCTAGAATTCTTACATTTCAATAGAATAAAAAAATCTCTTCTTTATCCACCTGTAATGGTCTATTTATAGACCATTACAATTATTATCGCTAACTGATTATATTGGGCCTATATTCAAGGGTTTTCTTCCTTTTGGGCCTGATTTTCCAATGGGCTTGATCTTCCTCAGTGGATCCTCTAAGTTCGGCTCATTCCGTGGTGCTTTTGCATGGGCCATACTTCAATTGTTCGACCCGATCCCATTCCAGCGAGCTATATCCAGCCCATGCCACTTACTGCATCCTCAACTGCCCCCATAATTACCCCTTATTGATTAGGGGGTAATTATTAGAGGCTGCTAATCATGACCTGACGGCTCGAGAAGATCGCGTGGGAGAATGGACGGTTAGATTTGGGGGTCGGCGTTTCGAGATTCAAAAAACTCATCGCTTTCCTGACTCCTCGGCCCTTGGGCTCACCTTGTCTTTATAAGCCTCATAGATGTTCCATCGATCCTCTTTACCGTCTCCATCTCACTTTCTGTTGTTCGAATCTTCTCCGGCGATTTCTTGCAAAAGATCCTCCTTCCAGTGACCTTGCAGTACTTTTTGCCGTTCTCACTCTCTGAGGTTAGTTTCATTTGCATTTTTCTTTTGGAAGACCTCTTTCTCTTCCTCAAAATCTTCATTCATTCTCACCATGACAGTAGATCTAGACGTTCTTCGCATGAAACTTCACCTCCCTGACGATGTAGAAATTAGAAATTGCCCCCGAGAGGTGAATATTAGAACCGGTGCTGGCCTTCTTCCCGGCGAGGTCCTGTTTTCACTCCTTCATCTTAATCTCCTTAGGTTCCTTTTGCATCCCTTCTTTTGCTATGTTTTCAACAAGCTAAAACTTTCCCCTTTGCAAGTAAACCCAAATTTCCTTAGGATTTTGTCTGTTATGCTACTTCTGATCCGTGACAGAGGTCTGGATCTGGACCTCATAGATCTTCTCCTCTGTTATAAGGTTAGCAAGATCATAACTGATGAACTGTTTTACCACTTTTTCCCCATTGAGAAGAGGTCCATCTGCACGGATAAAATCAAATCCGAGAAGGGTTGGAGGAAAAATATAATTGGGGTTAGGGGAGCCTGGTTCCTTCCAGCTGAGGAGGATTTCCCTATCCTGAGCACTTTTGGAGAGTGCTCTGTCTCTTTTTACAAGAAATATAAAAACCATAAGAGTGACTGTTTTTGCGAGATTTGTATTCCTCGTTTTTGTACTTTCTTGTGCCATTCCTTAGGCATTCCTTGTGATGATTTGAGCTACGGTGTGTGCAGGGATAGGGATAACTACCTGAAGCAGTACGTTCTGGCCAACGTTCCCTCCTGCTCGGACCTCCTCACCTCAGACAACCTCCTCGCTATCTCAGCCCTCGGTAAGACAATAAGCCAACTCCAGATCCCTTCCTTCGGCAGGAAGAAAACTGCCCCCAGGCTTGTTATCACCCCTACATCAAATTCTTCACCAGCTTCAGCATCTTCCTCTGCTACCCTTTCTGATACCACTCCTTCCACCGATCCATCCGTGACGGCTATTGACCCGGTCGCTAACACAGCGACCGCCAGTCCGAACGTTACCCCCTCTGTCAGCAATCTTCCTGGCTGTACTACTGCTTCCGCACGGGAAAAGGCAAGAGGAAAAAGGCACCAGCCTGATAGTGCCCTCAGCGTCAATGATGTTCTTTTGTCTCAGAGGGTCAGGCCCTCTGGGCCGAATGTGATATCTCTAGCAAGACCTCCTCAGACTAGGCCCCCTACCCCTTCTGGGCATGCCTCCACTTCAGGAACGGCACCACGGAACCCTCGCTTCATTCGAACAAACAGATTGTCTGTTAAACCGACCGAGACCATGTTCAAGGATGGTCAGACCGCAATGGCTTACTACAGGAGCATGTGGACTCCCAAGGACATTGAGGTAGCCAAAGGTCTGTCTCAGAGGGAAGTGTTCAGCCGATTTCCCTTATCTGCCATGGAGGTAACTTCTGCCTCTTAGTCAATAAGTCTTTACACAGTCTTTACACTTATTTTCTTCTAACCATCTGCTCGGCTTAACCAGTTGTCCTGTATATCTCTACAGACCCTGTACGGGATAATGGCTATGTAGAAACAAGTTGAGCTTGTGAATGCCAAGGTCCGTGCGCTTTCTGACAGCCTTAATGCAGCGAACAAGGAAAACGATGCTTTGGCTGCTCAGAAGACCGGGTTCATGGTTCAGCTTGGTAAGATTGAAAAGGAGAGGGATTCGCTGAGGAAGGAGACTGACTCTCTTCAGGATGAGAGGAATGCATTGCAGCTCGA